CTTAAAGTAGCTTCGCGAGGTCAGAATACTGAAGGCTTTCCACTGTTCTAGTCGAATTTCTAGTACAATCACAAATACAGCCGGGAAGTGCAAATATAGGGAAATCTTGAAAGACCCTCCATCACCAGTCAGATGATCAGACAACCGACAAACATAGACTCTCCATCTCTCACCCTTTCAATATCTGAGTATATAAGGGGCAAAGTTCTGCTGTGCGAACATTCGTCTCGCCCATCATGTCCCCACAAGCAGCAAATGCCGATAGCGGAGAAAAAACTTTCATCGAGGAGGAATACAAGTACGGTATTCTGCTCCCAGTTATCATCTCTTCGGTCAGTCAAACCTGGCTCCGCGGTCTTGAGTACACGACGAGTCAGTTTCATCAATTAGATCCATTTATTCCTGTACGGTCTGAACGTCCTACTATTCCGAGTCGGTCTTGTCGTCTTGAGGAGGCGAGAGCGAGAGATCGTGAAGGGTGGAAATCAATTATTTCGATTGTCACTTGTTTCTCTCTTTGTTCTATCTTCAGTCGGGGCTCCGATTAGTGTTGCGTGGGATGTTCTCACCACTAGGGTGGCCCTGTGTCACGTAGCAAAGCTGGCATGTGCACTGGTACAAAAGGATATTGCCCTCCAAGCTTTGAAGTAAGTTTTTTTCAGGATTCATTTTGACATTGAGTTTCACCACACACACAGCATCTGTCGGGTTTTGATAGCATCGCTCATGTGGTAAGATCCTGGACTATCTCAGATAAATTGGTCGTTGAGCCCAGCAAAGCTCGATCATCGACGTAATTTTAGTCAGTATCAAGAAGCCTTCCAACAAATCCACCCGATCTCATTCCCATCACAGGTTTTTCGATGTTTTGTCATATGTGGGTGGCGAAGGAAAAAGTATGCCATTACCTTAGTAGTGTGCTGCCTCATTCTTGACGGTGTGTCCCCCTAGGCCACAATCAGCCTAGATTTTAACTAATCTAGACCATGCTAGCTACGGCGCCGATGCTCGTAATTTGGTCCATCGTGATGACACTCTACAATAAAAAGCGCTCAGGCGCGTTGCTCCCAGTGAATCCAGTGTACCTTGGGATAGCTTGTGCTTCCCTTCACTTCATAGTGAATGCAATTTTGACGGCTACCATTGGTACGTTTCCACTTGTACTATCTCAGACCGCCAGGTTGACCAAACCCGGGACATCCAAATCTGGTCGCAGCTTTCAAGATCCTGCGGTCTGAAAAGTCCATAGGTACAGGAAAAAGATCAGGGAGATTCCATATGATTGCGCGAGTTCTGTGAGTGATCACATCTCAATGGGTACGTTAAGTCCTCGGACACGGCTCATGAAAGGTATGATCGTAAAATGCTAGGATAGAGTCATGTTTACTTTATCTCGTTGCATGGATTATTTTCATTGCCTGTGAAACTCTTCACGGGGGAGGAGAGTTGACGTCGATACTCGTGCAAGTTGCGGTAAGCCCTCAATTTTATCTAAATTTCTGACCGCTCACTGACCACACCGAAACTGATGCAGGGGATCGCCCCGACCCTCCTTATGGTCAGGGCGAACCTCAATAAACACCAAGAGGGGAAAGATGTCCCCTCCAATTCTCAAATTACATCTACGGTACTCCGGGCTTTACCACTCGAAGAGCTCGACATTTCAAGGAATTTTGACCAGGCGAGGGATTAATGTAGCTACTGGTATGGGTACATACTTAACCAAAGCACGATCCTCTAGTATATGAACGGCTATATGAATAGTGAACACAACTTCTACGCCAACTGACTAGCGGCAAATAGAATCCGGCGTCGGCCCCTCGGCCGCCTCCGATGGCCACCCCAGCATTCTCGTCATGACACCTGGCTGAGTTCGCAGAATCGAGAGATCTTCCGCACTAACGGGAAAGGAGAATGAGCGGGGGGAACTACTACTCGGTTCTTCTCCATACGGCCGTATGATTCGGGCTGTCGATTGCAATCATAGGGGTTGCCCAAGGTGACGACTCCCAAGCTGTGGTGATGGGATCCGTGAGCCGACCCCATGGAATGTAATTTCTATCTATATGGGACCAATGGAGAGAGGGGATAAGGCACTAAAATCTTGTTGTACTCTTGAGCCTCTATGAACATCAGTCTGAAGTCAGTACAGGGACTCGGGCACATGATACATACAAGTCTTGGTGTGTACCTGGGTTCCTCCGCCGCCATCACATTAGTAACAGTACCGAAACTATGATCATCAGGACCAGGCCAATTACACATCCGGCTATGACACCTGTCTTCACTCCATAGCAAACTTCGGATCCTGTGAATGATGGACCCGGAGGAGAAGCTTATTACACGGCATGGTCCCGAAATGAGGCTAAATATAGACGGGTTATAGAAGGGGATGTGAGGTTTGATAAGTTTTTACTTGTGTTTTCTAACCAAATCTCTATCAGGATCCTTGTGTATTCTCTTCCAAATGAACATGAAGACCCTCCTGAAGTCTTCACGGCTACTTGCCATTTCTATTTCTGCCGACAGCCTAAGTACTGCGAGGAGTTTTGGACCAAAAAGTCCACGCCAAGAACTCAGAGCAGTTGGGGTTTTTCACATCTATATAGGCCAGAATGAAGTAATTCACAGCTAGATCATTGGCTGGAGACATAGGCTTGCAACCCAACTCCCCTCTCCGGGAACAAGCTTCCGCTCCGTGCAGTCCAACCACTACGTTGACCAACGACAGAATAATAATCCGGTGGTGCCGTCTCCCCCGTCTCAGGTAACGCCAGCCTGCGCTCTACAAACTGGGCTCTCAAATTTGCTGTAGTCTCGTCAATGGTATCCAATGATGCTTGGAAGCTTTCGGTCCACGAGTCTTCCCTATCGTGCCCAGGCTGATAGTACTGGTCACTGGCAGGGTTATCCTCGTGACTCAGACTCTCGCTCGAGTTTTCACTCTGTTCCCCGTCACTCCACACCGCACTTGTGATAGTACTGTGTGTACTGAAAGTGACTGGGGAGATATGATTGACCCCAGATGATTGCTTTGAGCCGACCTCTTTCTGGGGCCGGAGTGATAGAGTCAATGGACGTGGCATAACAGTGTCCATGTACTCCTGTAATCGGATCTCTAAGAACATCAATCAATTTGAGGACGCGGTATCAATACACTCTGAAGGAACTAACCGTGTTTTCTTTGTCTCCAACACAGGAAACCCAAGAGAAGCAGCATTATAGAACCGATCACTAGTCCGCATATAAGCCCTATATTTGCCCTCCGACATATTATCGACGGCTCTGAAGGGCTGGGTTGCGGGTGTGGGACAACCAGAGGTACTCAGTCAAGCGGAGAGACTTGAAATCAATGGAGATTTCTCACGACGTGCTATCCAGCGAAAGAGTAACACTCAAGTTTGTCACTGAATGTTGACCTATTACCGAAGATTCGGAGCTTTCAGACCGATCAGCCTCAGCACTCGTCGACATCGGAGGATTGAAAAAGCTCGCTCACATGGCCGTCCGGAGTACACTTGATAGTCGCGAGAATGATATGAGATGGCGTATAAATACTTTGTCATAATTTCTTTGACATACGTATCGGTCGAGAGAGTCCCCGTACTCTCAGTTCCAGTGCCCGTTTCGATGCCAGTGTCAGTTTTCGTCCCGATTACCGTCCTAGTTCCAGTGCCGGTTCTGGTGCTAAACCCGGTACTAGTCACAGTGGCCGCATTCTTAACCCGTGAACTAATTTGCCAATTGTGTAGAGGTCGAGTTGTTACTTGTGCGGGAAATGATGGCTGTGGTAATGCATTGACAAGCGTCGAGGGAGTGAAGTCGATGGCGAGGAGATAGGAAACGACCAACGGCCCACTCAAGCTCTTCAAGATTTTCATTTCTTCGCGCGGCGGAAGGTGAAAAGGAAAAGGGTGTTTGTGAAAACCGTGTCATTATGGTGGCCCATAATTATCCTATAACAACTCGCACTCGCAGGCCTGGCCTGTGTATCAAAACACCATCCCGAGATGACAGTTGATATAACGGTAACAGCTACACCAATCGAGTAATGTAGTACGTGTGCCGAAGCTTTAATTTCGAAGGTAACCTACAAGCTTGATTCTACGGAAGGCATATCTCTATTTGTAAGATTCAGCGGCTACTAGAGGCAAAGCACTTTAGGACGGTGGGTCATGCATTCATCTACGATGCTTACCTCACGGGCAGGGGACACAGCTCGACACCAAAAACCGGGAGCATCGAGATGTGCAACAATTTGATACACTATCACAAACAGGGGCTGCTGTCAAAATACAGCCAAAGTCTGTCCTGTAGTATGTTGGGTGACTGCAACATTCCCCGGCATCCCATCTATCTTCGGGTACTTCGGATCTTATGAAAGTCGCACGAGTGATGCGCAGATATCTCTATTTGCACCAAGATAAGATTTTTCTGATGGTAAGTCCCACGTAAAGGCAGATGAGGAATGTGATACACAAACAGCTGTAAGTCGAGGAGTGGAACCGTCCCCTCGAGGGTCTTTTCAACTAGTTATCTAAAAATGGGTGATGTCAGAACCTTGATCCAGAACCTCCGAAAGCCTCATCAACGGGGATGCAGGTCTGGGACTTAGAACGTTGAGCGCGGGGACCCAGAACTCCCGTAGTTTATCAATAACTTTTGTTAACCTCTTCTGCGTCACCAAGCCTGAGATCCGGATACAAACGAAAGGGGGATATACTCTCCTTCCGCCAATATACTGACTTCCTCACTTATCTTCCGGATCGATATTAAGCGAGGACACCCGAAAAAGGTTCGAGTTCAACAGCACATTGATGAGAGTAGGAGTCGGTCTCTAACTCGCAACGCAGGATTGGCCACTCAACAAGTAAGGAGTCGGCCGGCCAGTGAGTCCCACATATCGACGTAGACCTTCAAGCTTCAAACTCTACCTTTTGCGGTCACGCTGAATCAAATGCCATTACAGTAGGAAAAACTCAGGTGTTTAAAGTGATATATGATGAGAGTAGGATTCGAAGATGCACTCCACTTCAGAAAGCGCTGGTCCGTAGTCTGGCGCCTTAGACCGCTCGGCCATCTCGCCATGTGGTCGCGCTAGGTCATGGTTGACGAGCCCTGGCAAGTAGCTGGGATGCATACCATTCTATCAGGACTCACGTACCTCTGCTACCACCTAACTAGACAACAGAGATTGTGGGGGTTTTATCAAGAGGGACTTGGACTTGGCTTACGGGTCTAGGCCACGCCGTCACCATTGCGTCGTACTTAGTACGAACGCGTTGTCAATTTCTCTTTTTCATCTTACTTCCATCTTCCTACTGTACGGTAGGTGAGACTGCCACCAAATGTTGCAAGTTCCAATCACTGCCAGAGCAACGTAACAAAGAATCAACACACTGTTGTATGAATCTGTCAACCGAGCGGCGACATTCTAACCTTATTCGGAATTGAACACGATCGAAGTGTGTTTATTCTCTCTTGACTCTTGAGCTGAGCTGGTTCTCTTTACAGCTTCCTGGTAAATAGAGAGTCGCGAGTAATCAGTGATGAGTATCGAGTTTACCGGAAGAGCGGAGTTCACGAGTAGTGAAGAGTAAGTCAGAGCTAGGGCTCAACGTATAAGAGAGGAAAGTAGAATTATGATTATACAGGACGAGAGAGAACTTATATACTGTAGAGTGAACTACGGAGTCCAGATATCTAATCTGTAAGTACCTATGACAAATTGGAGATAGAGGCATAGGGCATGAGAAATGAGTAAGTAAGATTGTAAAAGTGGAGATTAACTACTGTGCATGACATATTACAGATCAGAGGTCAAGGGTTGTATAGTATAATAGGTCCTAGGGTTAGTGAGGTCATAAGGCGTGTAGATAGCGTGTAATTCAACTCTCCCCCTCAGCACCAGTAGCGAGGTTGAGTCGTGAGACGAAGTTCAAGTGACGAGGCGCTGAAAGAGCCTTGGTGAAAATATCGGCGAGGTTGGAGTCGGTGTGGATGTAGCGAGGTTTGATGTCTCCATTCTTCACGGAGTCCCTGCAGAAGTGGTGGCAAATAGCGATGTGCTTAGTGCGGGAATGAAGGTCTTGGTTCTGAGCAAAAGCAAGTGCTGCCTGGTTGTTGATGTGGAGAGTGGTGGGTTCAGATTGGGGAGAACTGAGTTCGGCAAGAACGGCTCGGAGCCAGATAGCCTTGTGGGTGGCATGGGTCATGGCCATGTATTTGGCTTCCATGGTGGAAAGAGAGACGGTGGGCTGCTTCTTAGCTGACCATGAGATAGGTCCGCCATAATGGAATAGGAAACCGGAGATGAAGCGGCGATCGGAAGGGTTACCAGCCCAATCTGCGTCAGAGAAGCCAATGAGTCGATCATCAGATGTGATGCCGCCTAAAGTGATGAGCCGGCATGACGCCTAGCGCAGAGGACTACAACATGGGTACACTACTACTTACCAGAGAGAAGATTAGAGAGGTAGAGGCAAGACGTAGAAGCTCAAGCACACTGTAGATTCAGGTAGAGAACTATGAGCTTATATACGTGAAGTTACAATAGGGTTACCATATAAGGACGACAATAGAAATTGTACATATGAGCATAATGAACAATGAAGAATAGAACAATAGCAAATGCATTGTCCTGCATAATACAATGGTGGGAAGTATGAACCAGGACTTCGGATATACTGGGATCTAATAATAGTCCACGGATTCAACACACCCCCTCGCTAAGTGCAGCTGAAAAGCGCATCTGAGCGAATCAAGTGGACAAATAGAATTCAAGTCCAAGGTGATCTCTGAACCGTAAGAACTTCTCATGACCGAGATTCTTTGTAAACATGTCTGCGGGAGTATAGACTCCTTCAATGAAGAACAATTCGACTTTGCCATCTTCAACACATGATTGAATATAATGGTATCGAATATCGATGTGTTTGGTTCGGCGTTCTTGAACCGGATTAGATGCAATGAAGATAGAGCCCTGATTATCTCCGCAGATTGGAATAGGACCCAAGTCGATTCCAAGTTCAGAGAGTAGCAATCTTATCCAGGAAGCTTGACGACTACAATCCGACAGTGCCATAAAATCAGCCTCAGTGGAAGAAAGTGCTACAGTCTTCTGGGTGTGTGATTGCCACAAGAAGATGCCGCCTGCTAACTTGAAGAAGTAGCCAGTGATTGAACAGCGTTTGATAGGATCGGCAGACCAATCCGAGTCTGTGAATGCAAGAAGACCTCCATTGGAGTCACCATCGTAGACAAGTGAATAATCTGATGTGCCAGCTAGATAGCGGCAGATATATAGAGCTTTATCGAGGTGTTCCTTCGTTGGATTAGAAGAGAACTGGGAAAGCTTTGTAACTGCATAGGCAATATCAGGATGTGTGCCCAGCATATTGTACAGAAGCGACCCAATCACAGACTGGAACTTGGAGCGAATGGCAGGATTGACTGGACCACATCAGGCAGCCCTATCTGGGACCAAGTTAGGTAGCATTGCCCCACTCAGATTATGCTACCCAACAGGTGAAAATATCCAGATATTATCCAGCCTATCCACAGATATATCCAGGATGGTGGACATATCCAGCTGATCCCTGTTTGGCAGAGGCATCTAGATATATCCAGACCACAGACAAGCAGATATATCCCAAGTTTCTACAGGAGATATATTTATGTTCCTTATAGATATGTCTAGGCTCATGCCTGTCACGGGGTGCCAGGGGTCCTTAACAAATATATCCACCATTAAGTGACAGTGGCCTGGATATATCTGCTTATGTGGACAACTGGATATATCTGCTTATGTGGACAACTGGATATTTCGCTTATGTGTACAACTGGATATTTCCATTTTGGCCTTGCTGGATATATCTGTGGACAACTGGATACATCTGCGGACAACTAGATATATCCAACAATACTGCACTGGATATATCCACTTTGGCCTTGCTGGACATATCTGGCTCTGACAGGCTGGACATATCTGTTACTGCATAGCTGGACATATCCACTTCTGTTATACTGGATATATCTGTCTCCACTTAGCTGGACATATCCACCTCTGTTACATTGGATATATCTGATCCCACTTCATTGGATATATCCACTTCTCAACATTTGTCAGATATATCCACCCTTACTTGAGTGGAAGAGCCAACCAGTACAGTTTCCCTTTTGGTGAAGGTAAAACAGGCTGTATAGTATAAGCCCATAACTTACTGTTCATATATATTGCCATGCCTACAACCTTTGTATACACATCCTTTGCAAATGATGTGCTCAACTGAACCCATGTTTGTACTAGACTTACAGCTAAGTGGGATAGACTAGAGAGATTCTGAGTGATGTACTTAGACTACAGTACAACTGCAGTACACACCATAGCACACATTGTAGTACCAGCAAAAAAGATTGAAGGTAATATATACCACTGACAACTCCTTATTCAAGCCTTAAGTCTTGTTATATCTGGACATATCCAAAAATGCAAGCCCTGGATATGTCCAGGGGAATGCTATCTGGATATGTCCAGCAGAACACTATCTGGATATATCCAGCAGATGACACCTGGATATATCTGCTTTATTCATAACTGGATATATCCTATAGAGTGAGCACTTCTCACTTGTTGCATTTCAATTAAACTAAATAGAATAAATATTCCCCAAATATACACAAACTTATTACTGTCTATTTTTATGGCGCTTGCCATCCTTTCCATGTCCATGTTCATCTCCTTTGCGCTTCATTACACGGGAACTTTCATCACCAGACCCACCACCAAAGCTATCTTCATTTTCTTCAGATATCCCTGGAGGTTGAAAAGCTCGAGGATCAACCATTCCATATGGATAAAATGGTTGTTGATGGCCTGATGAAGAGGAAGGCACCATATTGGTATAGCGTGGATCCATGTACCCCCAGGGAGGCATAGGGACACGGTGGTCTGGAGGCAGTACAGAAGATTGTCGGGATGATCCAGCAGCCGCTGGTGCTTGTGAGCTTCCATGAAATGGAGGCATCCCAAAGTACCCAAACTGAGATGGTGGAATGAATGGAGGATTCACAGATGGAGAATGTGAATGTGCATGTTGATCTCAAGAAGGTTGGTGATGCAAATGTGAATGGCGGGATGGGGCAGGAGAACGAGAACAGGATTGGTGAGTTGGGGCAGGAGAATGGGAACGAGAATGATGAGATGGGGCTGGTAAATGAGCATGATGAACAACTGAAGCTGACTTTGCATTAGCCAGTGCTTTAGCGTGGACACCAAGAGGTTGAGGCCGGGACTGAGTGACTACATCCTCCCGAGGAGCTGGGTGAGCCCTTCCATGCTGCACTGAGGCACGGGCAGGTATATGAAGATCATCATTACCACCATCTTCTTCATAAAGGGAACGAGGTGGCATCTCTGCTAGTTCACGCTCAGTCTCAGCCAAGCGAGCATCAATCTCTGATGGCATTAGAACTTCACGCCATTGTTTTTCGAAGTCAGGAGAGTCACCAGCCCTAAGAAGAGTGGTCCCTCTCTCATCTGTCACAATAGGGAAAGCCCGTGCCTCCTCCTTGCTTGCCCTCACTGCTTCTGTAATAAAAAAGTCAGACCTTATAGCCATTTGAGGACATCATTTATACTGACCTGGAGGCCACTTTGAAATAACAAAGTAGCCAGGATTCTCCTGTTCTATCTCAGTCAATGTCCCCTCTGCCCATTTTTGTAACCACTGCTTCCGAGGCAACACCATCTCTGCAAGCATGTCCTTGGGATACGAAGTGTAGCTATGAATCTTCTCTTCGTCATCACCTGGGAAAGCCTCACCAGGAAAATAGACACGGTCATAGCTTTTTGTTTGAGAGAACTGTCCAACAGGCCAGTTGGTGATCCGAATATGGTGCTTAAAAGCCAACTTGACAAAGCTGTTGGGTGCAATGGCAGTGCCACAAACAAAAACTATACACAGTATTAGTATTTAGACTAATCATCATTAATATCAAATAAGATATCAGTGTCATGCTTGAAGATTGTGGCAAGTGCCTTCTTGTACTCATCACCACCAGACAAGTTCTTCAACTGTGTCCAAA